CAGGAATGGAGCCAGGTTTCTCATTGGACCACCGTTTTCTCGTAAACAGCAGTTTCAGGTTTAGTATGGAAGATATTGAATCTGCAACACAATGTTTCTCAGAAGCAAATCTATTGAGCAGAAGCAACTTCTCATCAGTTTTCAAAGGAAACCACCGGGATGGCTCTCTTGTCGCCATAAAAAGAATCAATATAACGAGCTGCAAGAACGAGGAAGCTGAGTTCTTGAAGGGTCTGAATGTGTTAGTCTCGCTCTCACACGAAACCCTCGTTAAGCTACGAGGGTTTTGCTGTTCCAGAGGCAGAGGCGAATGCTTCCTCATCTACGATTTCGCCCAGAATGGAAAGCTCTCAGATTTTCTCGACGCACAAGAAAATCTGCTTTCGAACCCGAGAAAACTCACGTTTCGATTTTGTTTTGCCGGGGTTGGTTGCCGTTTTCTGATTTCAATCACAGAGCAAAAGCACAACCGGAAAAAACGGTCGGTTAAGGAGAACCGGAATCCTGGTTAAAGCACCAGCAATATCTTTAGAACACGACGTTCTTTGATTTCACCGAAACACGAGGAAGAAGACAAAATTGATCAATTTGATAACTTAAAAGTTTCGAACTTTACCAAAAATACCAACAAAGTTACAGTCTTGTTACTGAAACAACAGAGAGACATTCATCTATCGCAAGGCTTTTATTAATTACTATTACCTTGTCCAGAACAAAAGAACTTGCTGGTCGCTGAGGATACATCGTACAAAATTTCTCCGGTGACCCGAAACTGGCTGGAAAGTTTTCACCTTTTATTACCAACTGCAAAAGCAACAACAAAGCTACGAACTTATTAGCAGTAAGAGAATGACAACATTCCCAAGGATTAAAGAACACAGTGAGGTCATAATAAACTCAGAACCCATTATACGACCGATGAAGCCATTTCCATCCTAGAGTTCTTCACCTTGTGGTTAAATCATGAAAGAGATTCTGATTCTAAAATCGTGAAAACTTCTGTTTACCTCAATATCTTACATCAAAGAGCTTCTAGGTTGTATTGAAACCACTCGCTTGGCCACCATTTCGGTCTGATTGCCTCGACTGTAATGTCCTCTACACCCTTAATCCTCAGCTCGGCTTTCGATTTGAAGGCTTCCTCTAGCCTCATAACGCCCATTCCTCGGCATCCGAGAGCCGTTGTGACCGACCCAATTTTCTTGCCAGAGATTGATTCAATCACTTCTGAGCCAGGTGCAACCCTGTGCTCTATCTCTGCATGCATACCACCGGCAGAAAGTTTTCAGTTCGTTGAGCATTATTAGATGCAAGAAACTCGGTTCTGAGGTAATTGCCAGTTTACCTTTTCCGTTACTATCGATGAACCGTAAAGGGACAAGGCGTTTGCGAATAACACCCCGATGATGAGTTCGAGCTATAAGCTCTTGACCGACATAGCAGCCTTTGTCGAAACTTACGGCATTAAGCCCTACAAAATTGTATTCAAGCGGAATAGCTTCACCTGTGCAAAGAAGCACACATACATGTTATAGAGGGTTGGGAAATGGCCCGAAAAAATCGAGGATACAAAAAGATTCTACCTTTTGGGATCTCACTTGATCCTTCGGCAATTCCATGCTCCAATCTCCACAGAAGGTAGTTCTGTTCATCTGTTTCTTTATCAGCCTCGACTAAAGGAGCTGCAGACATAAACACAGACAAAGTAACAAAGTTGCAAGCTTTGTTGATGACAGCCATTTCCAACAAGAACATTTTCCAGACAATAACTATGAGCTCATGATACCATCATACAGAGAAAGCAAGACATCTAATTTGGGCGGAACTCACGTGTTGTATCAGAAGGGAAGATTCCTCTGAAACCAAGACAGTCCAATCTCGGATCCTTGTACCATTGCCACCCGTTCTTGTTACCTCTGACAGTAGATTCACCAGCACGATCAATGCCACTGCCCCAACCGATAGATGCAGCTTCGGGTTCTTCCTCGGAGGATTCTCCTGTAAGACATCTACCATATCTCTGCCAACACGAAAATTCTCCGGCAACATTCTCAATATCCACTTTAGATCTCAAGCGATATCTACAATAATCAAGGCAGAGAAACACAAATCAGAAATCGGTTCCCCTTCCATGATCTCGGCAACCCTTATACACTTGCCTAACCAAATCAATGGAGATACAATCTGATCATTAATTATACATAAACATCCCTGAATCCTGAATTCTCATAAGAGTTTATCAAATAGCGATCCCGAAAATTTGAAAGCTTTGAACTTAAATGCTGAATATATTGAGACTTAAGGAGAAAAGAGCTACTTCTTGAGTGTCTCGAGCAGTTCATCGAGGGTAGAGGCATCAACATCTGCAAACAACTCGACCGACCCGCTCAAACCCGAGTCCGACCCGGGTCCAGACCCGGACGGGTCGAGCTTCTCCTGGGGTCTCGACGGCCTGTACAGGAAGAAATCGAACAGAAACCTTCCCTGCGGAGTCAACAGCGCCGCGTACATAGGCGAAGCCGACACGACGGGCATGTTCGGAGTCGGAATCGTCGAGTTCTTCTCTCCGACAGGTTCGGAGAACCTCCGAACATCGTTAGTCAAGAGACCCTGAAGAAATTTCACAGTGTCGGGGCCGCTGAACCGAACAACGGAACGGGATTTGAGGAGAGAGCCCATGGGACCGGCATCTTCGAGGCCGCTATGGATTTCCCGGCGAAGAATCACGGCGGGTTTCAAGATGGAACGACGGAGACAGAATCGGAGCATTACGACGTCGGCTGGGAGAATGTGTTCACAACGAGGAGGACGGGGAGGGTTTGAATGGAGAAGGGGTGACGGCGGCGGTGGCGAAGTCAGGTTCCGACACGTGGCACTAAACTTTCCCTGTTCCGTCACGTTCGAGCGGAGGGGTACCTCTGGGTGTTCGACCAATTTCCACAAAACCAGAAAAAAAAAATGAATCAATCATTTAAAAAAATTATAAGGTGTCAATCGGGCCGATCCGATTCGATCCATTACGAACCAGTATTCGGTTTGAAAGTTTCGGATTCGAATCCACAACGACCCTAATACCATAATAATCATAATTTTGTTTTTTTTTTATAACGTGGAATTCACAGCCACACTGGGCTCTCGTGCAATCAAAACATATATATTATCATATTACGAGTCTACAACACGGATCAAGACAACAACAGAACCCTCCTCCAAGACTCGACTATTACTCAGTTCGTACAGTACGGACGAGACAGATAGGCTAAGGGCCTCGTAGAAGTAAGAAAGCAAAGCCAGTGTCCTGAGATTTAGTTTCTGAAATGCCCACGAGAGTGGCCGACTCTTTCTTTCACATTCATTGCAGCCTTCGTCCTCCTCGGAGGACCACTCGTGGTTGAGGGAAGTGCCATGGGAGGTCGGTCATTCCTTCTGCCATTTCCAGCTCCTGCTTACCACAAAGCCCAAAGAAAGACAAAAGAAGATATTTTGGTTTAGAGAGGAGAGGAGCCTATGCTTTTGATCTTGCAACTTTCACAGTTGGAAAGTGAAAAAGGAAACAAACTTTGCATAAAGAAGGTAAAGATGATGGATCGAGTACCAAAGAATAAATATTAAGGATCTAAAACAGGTATAAAGGCATACCAGTACTACTGCCAATGGACCCAGTCCAACCCGGCAAAGAGTTTCGAGCATTTCCATCCCATGCTTGTTCAAAACCAGCCAATTCATCTGCACAATCCACGGAATAAAGAAATAACCCTATAGGTATGCAAACTAAAGATTCTCTCACACATGCCAGAAACCATATTAAACAAAACAAGAAGAGCACCTTCATTTAGATTGTGCAGTGTCTGCATTGTATCCACCTGACCATCTGAATTAAGTTTCCGTGTAACTGTATGGCCCTACAACATAGTCATCATCACTTATATCAACCATACCTGATAAAAAGAAAAAAAAATCATCTTCAAGGTGAACCATCATCCAGGGCTATCTAACAAATACCTTGCTATGAAAGCCCCTCGAAACCCTGTGCGTTGCTTCACGTGTTGCAGAATTGGCTTCTCGACTTTCTTCAACAGTTAACTATTTCACAGTAAGAACAACATCAGTATTAAACATAACCACCAAAATGTCACTTGTAAACAATAATCTAAAGAATAACTCACTCCATCACTTCCCGTCCTCCTCGTCTTAGATGAAGTATAGTAGTCACCACTGTGGCCACCATATGTAACACTGGAGCTCTGGAAAGTGTAGCAACGATTTTGTGATTGCCTTTGCACATTGGTTACCCTACCATTGTCATTCATGTATTGGATTTGCTTGTTCCTTCTCCCTGCAATCCATAAAACCTATCAGTTTCATACGCCACTCTCAGGAATGACAAATAGAAAACAACTCCCAGTCATTCCGTTAGTGGACAAACAGGATGTATACCACCTTCAACTCTGTCCTCAGGATCTTCGTTATCCAGCTCACCACCTGATCTGCCGTGTTTTCCAAGGTTTCCTTTCTTCCCTTTCTGTTCCTCCTCATCGTCCGAATTTATCTCTTCAATTATCGGTCCACGTGATCTTCTGGGTTCGGGTGGCTGCTGATGCTCAATAAATCCAGATGGACGCATTTCCGTGAAAGGATCCATACTAGGACCAAAAATGCTTGACCCAAACATGCCTCCAAAAGGCCGGGTGAAAAAAGGGTCATCAAATGGATCTCTGCCTCCGAAGAAGCTAGAGATCAAACTTCGAGGGGCCCCAGAACCTCCATAGCCACTGCTAAAACCACCCAAACCTCCAAACCCGCCAAAAGGGTTGCCAAAGTTGAAGAAAGGATCTCTGCCATCTCCCTGCATCTTTCCAGGGAGCTTTAAGGATAAAGGCAGTAAAACCAATTAGACAACGACAGCACACAACAAATGAAGGATATCAAAACTGGAAAGTGGTGAAAGCATATAAGGAAGGAAAAACAAGTAAATCATCCCAATATACATGCCATGACAGAAAATCGTATCTTCCTGACAATATAGAATTCTCAGAACCATGACCAGGAACCATTTCATATTCCACTTCATCAAAACTGAAGTAAGAGCACATCAAATGAAAACAATCCCAACTCAAACCAGAAACTTCATCAATGCAGAAACCAAATTTCCCAGAGAAAGCATGATCAGCAAGGGGGCGTGATCCATCAAAAGTAACAAGAACCGAAAGTACCCTCGATATCTAAAACCACAACGATTCCTCGCCATAAATTAGAAAAGAACGACGTAAATCAATCCAAGGATCCCAATTTCATACCAAAGAGAGAATCAAACTGATAATCTCAAATCGGATCGAATGAGACAAGACAAACGCGAAAAAACCAAGCGGAGTTATAGGATTCCATCACAATCAAGACAGGGCAATTTAAAGTCCAAATCGGAACTACAAAGGGACGCCGTCCGAAAAGATGAACACACCTTAACCGATCTAAATTCCGGGAGAAACCACACAGAATTCAGTAAGAAAACACCCAAATTCAGCTACAGTGATAAACAAACCGCGGAACCCTAACGAAACGAAATTAATCCTCGACTATGCATCAAATCAGACAACCAAAAATTCATGAAAAAAATGCAAATCAAAGATAAAATCCATACCTCGAAACCAAATTCAGTAAAGAAAAATCCGCGAGTTACCAGAAAAAAATTTCCTTTCCGCAAAATCTAAGATTTCGTGTGGTGCACCGCCTTCTCGTTTGGAAGACGAGAGGGGGAGAAAAATCAAAGAATGTTCTAGCACCGTCTTAGAATCCACGTGTTACTATTTAATTGGCCCATTTTAACCTTTTTTTATCTTTTTCTTGGCTGAAGCTTATTTCTTTACCGGTTTTAGGTTTATATCCCTGTTTTGATTTTCGTTGATTTACTTCTTACGATTTTAAAAAAATATATACCATTTACATTTTATAGTTTTATATTCCATGGGTTTCAATTTCAATTTTTAATAATGTTTATTTTAAACATAAAAATTATTTATTATTATTTTTTATTCAGCTTAATTTTTCATTATAAATATCATAAATTCTCGGTTGTTAAATCAGATTAAGTTATAGATTAGAGTAGGTGTAATTCAATCCAGATGAATAATCGAACCGAAACCTACCCATATTTTCGTATCAATTTTTTACTGCAGTAAACGACAAAGCACGCAACGCCTGTAAGTAAAAAATCCAGATTTCTCCGGCCCTTACCCTTGCCCTTGCCCTTGCCCTTGCCATTGCCTTCCTTTGCAAGAAGCTTGAGAAGCTTTCTTAAAGAAACTCAAGTTCCATAAAAAAACACCAATTTTTTTTTATACACACACAATATGAACACAACAATATAAAGGTACAGATATCATGCATGACTCATGACCGAGTTGGATTCACAGTGGGTGAAGAGGCTCCGAGTCAGAACTCGTTGGAAACTCTACACCCCTAAGAGCCGGCATTCTCTTCATATCATCTTCCGTATAGGCCGGGACGAACCAATATCTTTTGTCCGTTCCAAAAACCTGAAACCAATGTCTTAACGGATCAGATCAGATCAAAGAGAAGATTTTGATGGAAAGTCATCTTGCCCGGATCAAAAAAGCTCGAGATTCTCGGAAAGAAACGAGCTTTCTGTGTCCGAGATTATAGAAACTGGAAACTACTGATGGAAAGACATGAAATTTGGACAGGAGAAACTGTGTGTTGGCTGTACGAGAAGCAAATACGAGATATCGTTGAAAAGGTTATGAGAATTGTATGAAACAAAGATGGAGATAGAACCTGTTTAAAGTTTTCCTTCCGACCCAGATCGAATCGCCAGTTAGGAGTTGTCTTCTTCTCGTATGCCTAAAAAAACCCGAAACATCAATCAGTTTATTGCATCAGCCGAAAACCGGAGTCAAGAACAAGTACAAGTTGTTACCTCAATAGTTGTGGTGTTGCGGGCGACGAGCATTAGGTGCATGATTAGGAAGCCTAATATACTTAAAGCAAATGCCAAGTTCAAGACTGGAAATCACAAAGGAAGAAACAATATGCGAATTCAGTATAAACAAAAAATCCACAAGAAAAAAAAGTGAATACGGTTTTGGACTCACCAAAAGCAACAAAGGTGACGGCTAGCGTTCCGGGGGATATAGTTGTATCTATCTCTGTATCACCGTCGGTAAAGAATACGAGGAAGACATGCAATAATGATACGGCAACCAGTGTTGTCTCAAGAAAAGTGAAAAACTGCACATTGCCAGTTGAATTTTATAATAAGCTTCAATACAAAGATGGAACTACAGAGATTTCAGGGACCAATGACATCGAAAAGATTGGAAATGTAGAGAATGGTCAAGAAAGGAAATGAAGAGATGTAAGAAACATAGTTTTTGGGGAAAATCATTTGCCAAAAATCAAAAGACATGAACGGATTTGCATTCTGATTCCTCCATGCAACAATCTACGATAAGTATCTTAGGTTTTAGTGAGAGACATACCAAGAAAAGGAGAAAATACTTGTAGTTCATTGCCCCGACACAATTCACGACCCAAACACAATGATGATCCATCTTCAGTATGCATCTTCCGCCTGAAAGTTACACAAAATGAAATCTTTCCACAAGGAAAACAATTTATGCCACCGGATTTTGGGGGAAGTAGCTGAAACAGGAGAGACTCACAGACTGAGCAATGGTGGCAACGAGGCGGTTTGTATTGGTTGCACTTTCGGCAGTATCTTACACCATGAGACAAGGGATCTGCAACTGCAAGCGACTGGCTTGCTTCTGAATTCCCCGGCTGACTGGGATCACTCTTCTCAATGTCCAGCTCCGGTCTCCAACCTGGTGGAACACCACCAGGGTCCGTCACAACAACAGAGAAATAGCTCCACAAAAGCATTGCAAGCTGCATCAAAGATAAGAGCATCATCCACAGCTCATTTCTTCTGCATTTCTCTTATGTTTACTCTTTTGCACCCGAGTTTCAAAATTTTTCGGGTTTCAAGTATAAGGTGGATACGCAGAAAATATGGGAAACAAGAAAATGACAGGGCGAAAGCTAGGGAGAACACATGAATTCCACATTAACCACAAAAGGAAAAGATGATTGCTTGACGACAATTTACCGAACAAATTTTGCAAACTGAGAAATACACGTCTTGTTTCAACCTCACCCACTTGTCCGAACGCATTTACAGTAAGTGCATCTTCAAGATTTACCAAACATCTTTAAGTCTATCTCAAGCTTTAAAAACTCTTAAGACCAGAAATCTAATAACCCTGGACGATGAGTAGCCGGATGAGCACATTATCAGCATCAGTTTCTTGTTTCAGAATTTGCAAAAACAGCTAAAACACAAGCTCAATGAGCTCCAGACACAGATTGGTTCTAACACAGTCCAGAGATATGATGAAGACAAAAAGGGTTGGTTATTCAGAACTGAAAGATTTTGCTTCTAGTTTCAAAACTCGTAATAGAGACTGACAAGTTTTGTCCCCATGATATCAGGATCATCAGCAAACACAACAAGACAGGTAAAACAGTTCAAACCACTATAGTGGCCAACATGCAAGAAAACCAAAATGCCAACTGGTAGGTTCTTAGGCCAAAACAAATACATTGAAACCTGATGTCAAACTGGCGCGAATCGATCACAATTATGATTAAGATTGGAGTAAAAGCCCTAAATAGCAGAGGATGAGAAATAGATTACCAGAAAGTGGAACAGGGCCAAAACGAGAACAGCGACGAACGAACCAAAACCGCCAACCAACAGAGCCGGTCCGTAATTGACCACCACAACGGCGTAATATGTGAACCCAATGATCCCGACAACAACTAGGATCATGATCGAACCCAAGGCGCGAAGCGCCGTGCAAAACTTGAACACGTTCCACGCCATCGTCGGGGCTTCAAAGCCCGGTGTTTTGAGTAAGAAAAGGAGCAAATCTCTATCAAATCGAGGAAATATGCCAACTTTTCAAGAGGAATTGAGCTGAAATTTCGATCTTTTTTTGGGAAAATTTCTCGTTTTCCAGGGAAATTTCCTTTCTCCGTGCCTGGTCCTTCTTAGTTCTTAGGGTTAAGCTTGTCGAAGTCGCCAGTCGGAGACGAGCTTGACAAAAATAAAAAGAGAGCGGTAACTATGACATTTCTAAACAAATTGAAGGACGACAGAGTTAAATTACCCCAATATAAAATAACATTACAAAAATAAATAAATAAATGAAGATACAACTAGTGTTGGCAAAAAAATAATTGCAAAAGAGCACGAACACTTAATTGCATTTGTGGTGGTTCCGATTATTAAAAAGATATTCGTCACTAAACATATAAATTTATATACTTTTTAGAATAAAAATATATGTGTTAATTAAAATTATTGATTTTAAATTTTTATTAACTTTAAATCCAATATAAACATATAAATTACGATGGGAAAATCATTAGCAGTAACATTTACATTACAACAACAACAACATCGCCTCATTCTCAAGTTTATTTGGAATTGGCCACATGAATCCTTCTTCTCCACTCATTTTGATCACGAATTAACTCTTTCGGAATCTGCAACACTTCCAAATCGTTTCTAATGACACGTTATCACGTAAGTCTAGGTCTACCTCTTTCTTTTATTCTCTTTACTTTTCTAACCGGCGCATCTATCAGTGTACGTTGTACATGTCGCAATCTTTATATTAAACCCAAAAAAGAACATAAACCTCCATTTGTATCAAGTATTGAAATTTCAATTTATATAGAATAAACACACATATATATATATAGCCTTCAATAAAGGCTCATTGATATAGTGATGATTACGATTCTTGATTCTTGAAGCAACTGAGCAAGACGAGATGTGATATTACAATCTTGATCCCTCGGCTCCCTGTTGTTGATGATGACACAGAGGAATGTAAAATGGGCGGCTCGGACCGAATTCAATTCGGATTTAGAATTTTTTGGATCGGGCCGGCTTATCCCATTTATTTTTTTGGTCCTAGGATCGATGGTCTGGAGTCTGGTCCTATAGAGCTTTGAACGGGTTCGAACTGGACTTCGAGTTTTTCTATTAAATAAAAATATTTTTTCTACGATGATAATAATAATAATAATGTAAAACATTCAAAAAAATAGCAAACATAATATAAAAAAGATATTCTATGATATAATTAATTTAAAATAAAATAACCAATATATTCATATGCAAACAAATGTTTAAAAATATATATATTTGGAAGTTTCTATATTTTCAAAAAACGTAAATTGATATATATATATATATATATATATATATATGACGTAATATGGTTACAAAATAAAAGCTTCTGCACTTTAAAAAGTGTTAATTGGAATCAAGATAAAGTTTCGTAACTTTGTTCAAAAACATATATATATATATATATACACATGTGTTTACGCGCATCAAAGAACAAAACTAAAACTAATTCACATTAAGGAGGAAAAAACAATCAAATAGCAAGTATTATATTTGATTTAACAAACAAAAATAATACAAAAGATGATTATCCAATCCAATAGATATGGGGAGAAAGACAAGAATCAATAATTGATTCCAGCAAACACGAATAGAAATCCCAAAAACCAGAAAAATAGAGACGAAATGATAGAAGCACAATAAAGACGTCAACACCGGTGACTCAACAAAAGGGTGTAGGGTAAACAAAATGAGGGTAATCATAAAGAGATAAAGGTTTGGTTTAGAAAAAAGGATTAGAAAAAAAAAATAACGGACCTCAAGTTTGACCCGAGATTCGACTGGACCACATCTCATTTAGCTCGAGGCCCGAAAACTCGAAGTTTAACGAGTCTATATTTTCTAGGCCTACGTCCTTATTATTTTCGGACGGACTCGGATCGGATTTTGGACTCCGACTTAATTGACATCCCTAATGACACAGTACAATACCAAGATTACTTACTTGACCGAATCTTGATATCTAAAAGTTATATTGGTTTTTTTGTTAATTCTTTTGTGAGATTGGCCCATTGGTCTTTTTGTTAACTCTTTTCTTGTGATTTTACTTACTCTTCTCTATTGCCTGTCTTTAGTTTCTTATACCTATAGTATTTGTATGGTCTTGGATTCTATTCCTATGTAAATTAAGTTTTTTTTTTTAAAAAAAATGTGTGAATTTGATAAGCAAATCCCACATGAAATACATTTGTCCACAAAGTCAGCCGAAAGGTGGTGAAGTAGAAAACCCCCTTTTGCAAGGCAGTTTGGTGCCCGTGGCGTGTTGGGCTCTCACCATTCCGACAATTGCATTTGCATTTGAGAGAAAGACAAAAAAGCTTAACTTGCATCAACAGTTGTCGTTTTTGTTTCGCTTGTCCTAAAAAAACGAAATTTAATACAAACCCACAAGCCGGAACTACCCCCTTTAAAGGCTAAGATGAACGACACAGACACGAGACACGGATAAGAATATGAAACGAGTCCCTTTGTCATGAACTTTGGTAGTTAGCAGCAACTGCAGAAACCCGACACTACCCGTTAAAGGCTGCGGCTCTATTATACGCTTACGTTTCGTGGATCAAGACGAGCAGTTTTCGGTGATCTGTCTCTGGAAAAGTTTCGGGGCTTTTTCTACTCGCATTTGAGTCCTCCGTTCTGTTTGCTCTTCTCCTCCTCCTTCATCTGCAACGAACAAGACATTACCGTGAATACCATGGCCAACAATTCTCTTTCGATTATCGGGAGAACCACACTCATGTCATTCTAGTACGTGATACTAGCATACAACTTTAAGTTCAGTATGAAATCCGATCAGTGATGGCTGGGGGTTGAAATCAACAGGCTAGAACTATGAGACTCAGATCAAGAAAGATTTTTACCTTCTGCAGAAGTTTCTTTTGGAACCGGTAGCCCTAATGAAAAGGAAAATGTTATAAGCATAGAGTAGAGTAGATGTTTCGGCCAAATCGATAGAGATCAACGCAGGTGAACATGTACCTTATCAGTTCCATAGATGTAATCACAGTAAGTGAAGACTGAAGCAAAGTTGCTCTGGCTTTGTCCTCCAACATAATGATGGTAGTCATGGTACTCAGCACCTCCATAGAAGGGTATGTATTTAGTTGGAGTCCAGGGGAAATCATATCTGCAGCAGAACAAAGCAAAGAACTGGTATCAAAAGGAACATTTCCACACAATGCCGTGTAAAACGCCAAACAAATGACCAAGTTTTAGGCAACAAGTAACGTTTGCCATAGCCGAAATCACAGAAGCAGTAAGTTAGTTGAAGAGCCAAAGGACCATACGTGGACAAAGAATCAATCTTTTTAGCGTTTCCTTGCTATTAGGTGATTTGGGTTACTCCAGAAGTTGAAAAATTTATCGTTGGAAGAATATTTTTTTTGCTCAGCCAATGGGATTGTTCATAAAAAGGCATGAAAACAATACCCAATAGCTATAGTCTGAAAAGCATCAAAAAGCCTAATAATACCTAACCTTAGCCCCAATGGAAAAGGTGAACCACTATTGAAGATCCAACACAGCCTGAGTACACTATGTATAAATACTTAACAAGGAAAGCTGAAAGGGAAAGGAAAACAATTCAAAAGTTGATATGATATTTGATATAGTCACAAATCAATCAAGAAAAAAGCTAGAAAATTCGAAAAAAGGCAAAGGCAAAGCAAGAGCAAGAGCAAGCAAAAGGGATTCTAATTTTCTACCACCACCTAGACCTTACCCGCTATGAGTCTCAATGGCCTCCATTTGCCGTAGAGCTATCCACAGCCAGAAGGTTATAATGTGTCCAGGAACAATCGCTGGACCCAGAAACGTCGGAATCCCCAGAAGCAAGACCTCGGCCCAATGCGCGTAAGGTGCAGCATATCCGATCGGAGACGTATACTCGTGATGAACACGATGAATCTTTTCGTAACCCCATTTACAATGGAAGAATCTGTGGATCCAGTAATTTGTGTAGTCCTCTATCAAGAAATACACCAACAACTGAGCCAAAAGCTCCCCAGTCGATGGCAATGGCAAACCGAATCGAATCCCAATCATCTGTTCATGGAAAATTATCTGAGTATTCACTCCAAGATTAACACGCTGCATTTCTGACCAGATCCTACAAATTCCACCAAGTTCGTCTAAAAAAGAGGATCGAATCATTCAATTCTGTAACTTCATGTACCCAGTGAGATTCCTCCTCGACAGATCAAAAAATGCAACATAAATTCAGATCAAATTCGAAATGTTCATCAAATGCCGTACCTCAACCATCAAATCCGGACAACAAAAATATCCAAAAGATACAAATAACAGAGAAAAAAATCAGAATATCCAAAACCTCGAAATTACCTTGATCGAAGGGTAAGAAACGAGCTGCAATGGCCCGACGACGAACACAAACATCTTCATGACGTCTCTGTAGCACCGGAACATATCGGAGACAGAATACTGCACCTTGGGCTGAATCTTGTACCGATCAAACCACCCGGCGGCGGATCGCGCGACCTCGACGAGGACGAAAGGGAGAGGAGCGGCGGAGAAGACGAGTAAGAGGAACAAAATGTTGTGGCAGTAGAGGTAGTAATCCGACTTCGTGGCGGAGTAATTGAACCAGGAGGCCTCCAAACTCGTCAGGTTCCGGCCGAGCGCCGCGGCGGCCTCCTCCACCGTTGCGTACGGAATCATCGGTGTCGCCGGCGTTCTCCTATTACGGCGGCGGCGGTGAGAGATTCGGAGAGAGGGAGATGAGACAGGTGGGAGGAGAGAGAAGGGATCTGGGTCTGTTATATAGACATAGTATTTGGATCGACGTGGCTCGAGTGATTCCGCGAGGCTGGTGAGTGGCGCTTGTTATTTTATTTGTTTTTAAATATAGTGTGTCCATATATGTATAGATATACATACCGTGGGCGTATAAATATAGCATGTGCAGATGTACACAAAAAACTGAAATGACAAATATACACTCAGGAAAATAAAAAAGTAATAATAGTTCATAGATATATGAATATTCTCCGATGGAAAAAAAAAATTATAAAAGGTCAAAATCCTCTAGAAGAGACGACGGTGTTTGTATTACAAATCGAATTGAATGGTGATGAATCACGGATTTGGATAAATATATATATTTTTTTAGAACCGAAATTTGGTTATTTGATGAGACCCACGGTTCTTAAATTTACATCGACATACGTGAAATTTAGATTTGAATAATATTGAGGCCTGTGGGAAGCGTATTCGGGCAAACGAAAATTTTAAAATAAAAAAAAAACCATAATTCTTTAAAAACTTATTATTAAATGTTAATCTAAATTTTTTATAATTTTTAAAAATTTTGTTCATAAAATCTCTAAATCTCGAGTTGAATAGAGTGAATCATGCATTTGTCACCCTTTTAATTAGTTTTGGTCTTATGTTTTTTTTTTTAAAAAAAAAAAAGAATTTCCAGTAGCGAGAGTGAGGGGTCACAATCCACTCGATGAGAGGATAACATCTTCCTCTTTTTGCATGGAAAGTTATTTTTAAAACTTGGGATTATTCAATCACTCGTCCACAAAAGGACCCAATAAAAAAATAAAACAGTTATAAATTATGCATATCAATGGATTGTGTAAATACTTTAATATGTTTATTTACATAAAATCTAAACGTATAATTCCAATATATTATCCTTAATACGAGATCATGCTATATTCATGAGTCATTTAGACCGTTCCCAATCAAACACTTGTATAATAAAGTATATATTATAATTAGCGGATCCATGTGTATCATAATAGGGTCCTTTGTCCCCACTGTTTCAATTAATTTTTTTTAATTTTTTTTTATAAATTTTTTAAAAGAATTGTTATATGCCCCCATGTTCAGATGTTAGAATTATGTTTGCCCCCATCTTCTAAATATTTCTAGATCCGCCACTATTAAATACGCTAACAATATAAAACTTATGTTTTTACATGGAATATTTACTTTGGTTATAATAAAAGTAGGTAAGCACGCATGATAATAACTATTTAAGATCAGTGTAGTTTCCCTTTACAATGATTAATTTGTCTTCACGCTCATTCAATTCATGAAGCGAATTATCAGTCGGTCCAAAAGCTTGATTAACCTAATAATGCATATTTGTATTCACGACAATCGACAAAAGTGTTACATATATATATATATATATATATTATAATGCGCCTTCAAAACTATAATTCCACCATTATGGCTTAGATTTACAATTTTAAAAAAAATAATATTTGTTATAATAAAAAGTAATCATTTTTTAATGAATAGTGGAAGATATTAACTGTTGAAATGAAATAGAATAGTAACAAGTGATTTGAGATATTGTGAATTCTTTGACTATGGAAAGGAGTATTACGAACACCTAAATTTTGATAGGCGTTTAATAGCATTGTGAATGTTGACATGTTGGAATTAGCGTCTATTTATAAATCGGGAAATACAATAGATATAAAACATAGGAGAAAAATTAAAACAAAAAAAAATCGTGACATAATAAAAGTTTTCATTGTGAAAAAAGAATAATATATATATATATATAATGAAATGAAATCTAACCTAAATTTAATATAAAAACACATTCTCACAAATTCAACCCCATCAGTTATAAAAATAATAATAATGATAAAACATAACGCTCCGGTCTTTAATGTCATATGATATGACGGATGCATCAAATCACATAACATAGTTTCCTTATATCTCTTTGATTAAATTGAATTTTCAATTTCATTTTAATGATCCATCCATCGCTGTTACAAAAACTTACAACTTATGTTACACAATAAGCGAATTCAGAATATGGTGGGTTGAATTCAGATATTATGAAAAAAGAAAAAGAAAAAAAAAAAGTGGGATTTGCTAAACGCCTAAACCAAGTCAAAAGTGGGAGTTGAATCATCATAAATGCATACATATACATATACATATATATATATATGTATGTATATGCTATTATTTTGAAATGACAGAAATCGATATTGGTAGATTGGTGATTTGATGCTTTCAAATAATTGTTGCGTGACTATTTCCCCTACTTCTTTGTCCCAATAATAAAAATTGAAACCACATGAAAAAAAAAAGATAAATTTAAATATTATATTGAACAAACCAATTAATCAATTATTCCTGTTCAAATAACTTAAAGATTTTGGAAATTTTTATCATGAAAATAAAAAATGTACTTGATGGTTATATATCATATTTGGTAATATATACAAGTAGAGGTTGTTGTAACTTTTTTTTATATATATAATTTACTCGTCCGATATGTGATTGTGGTTGTGATATGTAACTTGGAAAAGAAAAGGAAAGGAAGAAGCACGCGAAATGAGAGAGCATCGATGGTCATGGCCCTCCCTGTAATTTGTCTGTTTTTCTTTTTTTATTTATTTATTTATTTAATTCGTTATTTTTCTTACATATGTATAAACTATATATCATAATTAATATCCTAAATTTAATTATCTGTTAGTTTATTGATTCATAATATCGATTGAGTTGCAGCCGTTTATTAGAGAGAGAGAGAAATAATACATTGGTTTTAATGAACCGATGCATTCACACATAACCCCTAAAATTAGAAGGCCTCAAATTTTATTCATTTTAATATAAAAATATTTATATGTAATTAAATTATATAATAAATAAATATAAATCTTAAAAAAATATAAAATATATATCATTCAATTGTTAATCTAATAAAGTTCTAAATTATTTACTTTTCATTTGATTTACTTTAAATTTTATTGATAAGAAAAATAAATAATTTAAAATTATATAGTGATCTAATCTTAAATAAATTATAAATACAACAACATTCAATAATAACATACTATATTAAAAGGAACTATATATTATTCACATATATTAATATTTAATATAATTTGAATTTTTAAATTTAATTTTAAATTTTTTATCATATAAAATTTAAATTTTTAATAATTAAATTTAATATTTTGTACACGGCCGTCAAAATCCTATCATTTATGTATGAATGTTATTGTTGCCACGTAATATATGATAGTTTTATTTATCAACGGTTGGTTAAGATGTCAAAATGAAAAAGAAATCTTTATGCATAATTTAAGGAGTGTTTTGAGCATCAAAATGAGATCCCTCCGTCTGTCGTAGTCGGTACCGTTTTGTTGTCGTCAGTCGTCACCCCCTCCTAGATTTTTTTTTAATGTCCGTGGGTCCCGCCTGGTCATCTATAAAAGTTGGATCCCATACATATATGAGATCCATGTGTTGCTTGCATCATGCATGGCATGGCCATGGGCGTAATAAATGGGCCGTAATGGGCCGTAAGGTCACTCCCAATTCAGGCATATTATTTTATCTTTATTTTTCCTTTACGAGGCTTTATTTGGGCCCGGCCCACACATTGACGGGCGAGGCGAGCACATATCTTTTTTTTTTGCGATTTGTTCCACATACGATAATAAAACTTAAAAAAAAAAAGCTATTCCAAAAAGGTTTAAGGAATATATATAACAAATGAAATAAAAGACAATAACTTGTTTATTCCATTTGTTCGTACGTACTTGAAGTTTTTAAAATTTTGAAAAACAACAATCCTATATTATATGAATGAGCTGCCTACTAGAAATTTTATTGTGGAAATTGAAAAGTTTACCGTACAGCGCATATATATAACGTATGTTACATATAATAATCTGTGAGACATTGGCCCATAACGTTATTTTATCCAGAACCTAAATTTAAATATATAAAAAATGCAACTGTTAGTAATACACGGATCATGGATGGATACCCTTGCCAATTAAAAAAAAAGTAATACATGCAGTGAAAGGAGGGCAAAAAGGTAAATATACGAACCCGTTCAAAAGTCAGCGACGTACCTTGGGAGCCCGTCGTTGTAATTCATGGGGCGCGTTCAATGGATGTGACGACAGAATTAAATTTGCATGTCCCTTCAGCCCACGAAACCCTATTTTCCAATAAAAATTTTATTTCCTTTTCCCCAATCAATTCCTTACAATAAAATAAATATTTGTTTGTAAATAAATACTAATCTCGTCATTAAAATTTAACATTTCAGGGTTTTGTCCTAATTAAATAAACCTCTTTTTATTAAAAATAAAATACTATAATATATTTATAAATATAAAAACAATATCTTATTTAATTAATATAAATATTAAACATATAAAAATAAAATAAAATTTGATTTTATGATAATCTTTTGAAATATTTAACATCGACTGATATTAAATGATAAAAGTATATGTATATGTGTGTATATATATGGGAAAGCGGAAAGCAATGGAGAATCCAAAACTTCTCTTCTATCCCAAGCAAACCAACAAAATCAACTACTTTACTTCCCCCACCTTTACTCTTCTCTATTCCCCACAAATCTCTCTCTCGAATTTCCTGAATGTCGGAATCGATTCGCCGGAGAAGACTGCCGGCGCCTGTTGGAAGCGGAGGCCGGAGCCCCAGGTCCCGTCGCCCGGTGAAGCAGCGATTTTCAGTCAAGAATCGAGCGAAGCCTGTCAGGATACTCGAGCGAAGCTTGTCGGAGCCGAATTTCCGCCGCCGCAGCGGAGACGGTGATCTTTATGATGATCGGCGGCGGGTTCGGCGGCCTATGAGTGATTATCCGGCGGAGGAATCCGATGGGATCGCGTATTTCCCTCAGATTCGTTCGGAGGTTTTCGCTTCTTCTTGGCGGCGGTTTCGGCGGCCTATGAGTGATTATCCGGCGGAGGAATCCGATGGGATCGCGTATTTCCCTCAGATTCGTTCGGAGGTTTTCGCTTCTTCTCCGTCGTTGTCTGGTTTCTCGTCGCCGTCTTCTCCTTCTTCGATGAACCATGAGGTACTTAATTTTTTCCACTCCCATAACTCTCCTTTTTTAAACCATTTTTTTAAGAAAATCCCTATTTCCCTTAATTTAGGAAATAGTTTAATATCCAAATTATACTTTGATTTTAATTATAAATGAAGAAGACGCGATTCCTAAAATGTTGAAGATACAGAGTAAGTCCTTAATTGTAGCATCGATGTTTCTCGCATTGGATCCAAAGTGGGTAGCCCTTGCGTTTCCGAGATGCTTGTCCTCCTTTGAAATCTAGCTTTTGGAGAAATCTACGAATTCAACGTTCGTCGGATTTGTTATAGTGATGCTGCATGAACCCATGATTTGATCTCTTTCATTCGTAGATTCCACTGACTCGAAGTTCAACTCTGATTGAATTCTGAATCAGGGTTATGTTGTTAATATCTCGATCAGGGTTACAAGAAGGAAGCCAAGGTTGTGATAAAAGTATCTGTGGAAGGGAGCCCAGGACCAGTAAGAACAATGGTTAAACTGGGTTGCAATGTCGAAGAAACGATCAAAATTGTTGTGAGGAAATACTATGAAGAAGGAAGAACTCCGAAACTCGATCAAGATGCCGCCTTTGAGCTTCATCATTCCCATTTCAGCCTCCAATGTGAGTTACACTACTTTGTAGTTCCTCGGTCAATGTAAAGTTTGGTTTTGGGACATGTTTAGACACATTGATCATGGCCAGAACTCGTGGTTTAGAATGCAGGATCGGTATACCGAACTTGGTTCAGGAACCTTTTTGTCAAGTCCTAATCAGTTCCATACTTGATAGCATGAACAGAAACAGAGTAAAAACCGTGAATTTTATCGAACTTGGTTCGTGAAGTTTCTCGCATGTCGATACATAGATTAAGATAAAACGTATAAATCATATCAAACTTTGCTGAAAAAAAGAAGCTTCCTTTTGCCTCCTGAGTCATGTGAATCAAGAAAGATCACAGAGTCCATGCTTCACATGAAGCAAAAGGGTGATTGAAACAGAACTACTTTTTCATGTTCTTGTAACTGTTTCTGCATACGAATTGTTGTTTGCTAGGTCTGGATAAAGCCGAAACCATCGGCGAAACAGGCAGTAGAAGCTTCTACCTCAGGAAGAGGGGTGCAGACAGTGAATATCCAAAGCCTTGCGTGTCTGAGATCGTTGCCGTCGGACCAAACATCCCGTCATCGAATGTGATTCAATCCTTTATCGCTCGGAAATTCGGGAAGATCGTGAGGAGAGCGACCAAGATATGGAATATATTGGTATGCATGCAATGAATAACCAAAACACAATGCTGCGGATATATATGCCCTATCAAGTAACCATAACTTATCTTATTTATACTTAAGCTACGCATAATATTTACTTGCGTTGCTTGAATTTTAACCTTTTATATAAAAATACACAGAAGCATAGGTATATTTGTGGCCGGTGTTCGATGTAAACGGTCCGGTCCAAGTTGTATTGCTGTATTATAAATTGTTAAATAAAAACAAACTGATATAGCATCCGGTTAACCGAGTTCTTACCGGTGCTGAACCAGAAAAGAATTTTACAGAGTTCTGTTTTTCTGTATATAGTTTAATATTTTTCTATTGATTTACTTTTTGAGAATTTTGATCCAATGTATGGCAAAGATTTCTTAGTTTTAATTTTCAGAATTCGATCTAGTACCCGAAACAACATTTTATTTTATCTAATATTATACAGATCCATTAATATCCTTATATATATATATATATATATATATATATATATATATATATATATATACAATACATACATACATACATACATACATACATACATACATACATACATACATACATACATACATACATACATACATACATACATACATACATACATACATACATACATATGAGGATTTTCCGGGAATATGCTTATTGGTTGGTACCTACCATAATATAGAGGCGGTGTGGTCGGCATTAGGGTCAACGCACGAAGAGATGTGAGCCAAGAAAAAACAAAAGAAACAAGGTGACAGAATTAAACCCCAATATATAATATCGTTATTGAGTCATTGACAATAAAAAAAAACACGGCATAAGAATATTAGGATGATTTAAAATTTATTTATAATACATATCTTAGAATGCATTTACAATGTTCGAATTAGTTTTTATATAATATGTGTATATGCGTACGTACAAATATATGCGTTATAAAAATTTTGCAATGTTCTTTGACTAATTGTGCATAACCACGTATTTTATATAATTTTAATATCTACACCGAATATTAGGGGGAAAAAAGTTAATACCAAAATTGCTAAAACACTATGCTTAAAATATGCTTCGTCCACAAAGTTTTCTAACGCTAAAATGGATTAGGAATACAATAAAATACAAATCAAGTTTCCATTTTAAATAGGAATCTGTTATAGCTCGAAAATTCCAACTAGATCCAGTGGGATTATATTTTTTTTGATGCCCAATTTATTATAATATTCTCCATATCTCTATTATCTGCAATATTCAAGGCTTTGACCCAAAACACAGGAACAGAACAGAAACAGATACACGACCGTATCTCGTGTTCGGAGAAGAGTCGATTGCCGGAGAAGGCGGCGGCGGACGACCGTGGAGGATGAGCGATCTATTCGCGTGGCTGATTTCCTTCTTGTTCCTCGTGTCCCTTCTCATCATCGTCGTTTACCAGGTTTTCGTTTTCATCCACAATCCCAATTTTAATTCATTTTCTTGGCTATTTTTTTTCATTTTACTTAAAATTAAGTATGTACCCTTTTGAAATTTGATAATTTTTTCATACGACATTCATCGGTTACAGTATTAAATTTACCGATTTAATACCTTTTTTTTAAATTTTTACTATGCAGCTGGTATGCTTGTCGGATTTAGAGTTCGATTACGTAAATCCTTATGATTCGTCAATCAGAATAAACCGGGTGGTTATACCGGAATTCACGGTTCAAGGAGCTCTGACCATCTTCTATCTCTTAACCGGACATTGGTTCATGGCCATTTTGTCACTCCCATATCTTTGCTACAATATCAAACTGTAAGTTATATATATTACAAATCTTGATAAAAGAAAAAAAGCATACATATTCGCTTAAGCATTTGTTATAAGATATACTAAATCGCTAGATACAAAGAGCATAGAAATCATTCGTATTGAATATAATCATTATCTTACAATAGAGTAGCTTTTGATGTTCAATATTTATCAAATCGAATTGTACCGAAATAAGAACCCGCTCTTGGTTAATGCAAAACCATACATTGTACCGAAAAATACAAGGACAAAAATATGTGAAATTATCGCTACTATAGATCGAATCATCGGTTGGTTAACGTTATATTTATGATAAGCTTGTATGATTTTTGAGATGTGGTATCGACTCTTTTTGTCTCGGGGATCAAGCTATACGAGCAAGGAACACCTAACGGATGTTACGGAGATATACAATTCGCTCAAACGGGAGCAAAAGAGACGGCTTTTCAAACTCGGCCACATCGCTCTCTTCCTCTTCATCACCACATTTTGGTACATATCAAAACCCTAATCTCTTTTTTTTTTTTGGTTATGAAATGAAATCTGAAACCTTATTGATTATGTTTAGGTTGATTCACTCGGCGTTAGAAGATGACTAAGGTCGGAGGAATTGTCCGTACATGGATGGTCTATCGGGTCATCGTTTCACATACGAACTCTTCATTTTCTTGCTCTGTCTTTTTTTTTTTGTATCTCTCTTACGTGTACTCTACATTTCGATTGTCGAAATTGAAATTAATGGAGATTAGATAATTTTATTCAAACGCATAATATGTCTTTTGCACTCTAGCCAGTTCAAACATAACTATATCTCTTTGCGTACACTTGTGAATTGTCCTAAACCGGATTCCTCTCTTTCCGTTTAGGTTCGGTTTTTCTTTTCCCAAGTATAATTATGTGGGATTGGTTTTGCTCATGAACCGGTATAGTCCAAGAATTTTCATCATTTTATTACCGTTTACTGCGTGCAAAAATAAAAGCACAAAAAAAAAAAGATTAAAAGATTAGCAAAAGAGGAGGGGAAGGAACCCTCCGCACGGCTTAGAGGGTTCTCGGTCCGTGCCGTGCGCGTGGATTGCTTTCTGCGCTAAATGAGACATTTGAGCAACGTTCTTCGATGCCGCAGACGGATCAAGCTCGTTTCCACGTCGGTCGGCGACCGCAAATCTCTGTTCTAGATGCATAAACCCCACAAATTCGAAGTGGGTACTCCTATTCTCCTCTAATTTCAATCTAAAGTTTCAGACTTTTTCCTGTCCCAGATTGTGAAAGCAACTCGAGGCTTGAATTTCCCGTGATGTTTTGGCTTAAACCCTAATCCGTATCAGGGTTTTATGCAAGGTATTGTAAAAAGAAGCAATTTATATGTTTGGGATTTTGATTCGTGGAATTAGAGCTGTTTCATGTTTATCCCTTTCCTTCGATACCTGGGAGCAGTAGCGTTCATTGCAGAGAGTCATCGTTCAGAATTCAATGTCGGGAGCAGAATGTTTAGTAGTTCTTCATTATGATCTTCAATGTCTATGGCGTTTTCTCTGGTAAGCTAAGCTGTTTATGGAAGATCATATCAGATTACTACAGATAATGCTGAAACAATCATTTCAGGCAAAAAATTGACAAATGAAATGTCGGGTTCGAGGCTGAAGTTCTTCCTTGACAACTGTGTAGTGCTTGAACAAGCGCAGCAAGTTCATTCACGGCTAGTTGTTACCGGCTATAACCATCTGGAACCCGTCTTGATCCACCGAACTCTTCACTCCACACATGATTACTCTAGAAAGATCTCGAATTATGTCAAGAGAATCCTTTACGGTTTGCGGAATCCGGATTCTTTCTCTTGGGGATGTGTAATCCGGTTCTTGAGCCGGCATGAGCAGTTCAAAGAAGCGTTCCACCTTTACATCGAGATGCTCCAATTCGGTATTTCTCCAAGTTCACATGCCATAACCTCGACATTAAGAGCATGTGCTCGGATGGAGAGCAAGATTGCCGGTACATTGGTTCACGCTCAGGTTCTTAAACTCGGGTTCTGTGGCTGTGTTTACGCACAAACGGGCTTGGTGGATTTGTATTCTAAACTGGGTGACATGGAAATGGCAGAGAAAGCTTTTGTTGATGTTGCAGAGAAGAACGTAGTTTCTTGGAACTCGATTTTGTCTGGGTATCTGAAAAGCGGGGATTTGGAGGAAGCTCGTCGAGTTTTCGACAAGATTCCTCAGAAAGATGTTGTGTCATGGAATTCGATTCTTTCGAGTTATACACAGGCAGGTGACATGGATAGTGCATGTTCTCTGTTTCAGCTAATACCTGAGAAAAGCCCGGCTTCTTGGAATATAATGATCAGTGGATATGTCGAATGCAAGGAAACTGAAGCAGCAAGAACCTTCTTCGATGCAATGCCCGAGAAGAACGGTATTTCTTGGACTACGATGATTTCAGGGTATGCGAAATCGGGTGATGTTCAATCCGCCAAGGAGCTCTTCAGCCAGATCCGCAAGAAAGACAAAGGCATGTACAATTCGATCATAGCTTGCTATGCTCAGAACGGCCAGCCGGAGGAAGCTTTGAAACTATTCTCGGAGATGCTCAAGACTCGATCACAGATTCAGCCAGATGAGATCACGCTCTCGAGTGTTATATCGGCTTGTTCGCAATTGGGTGACACGAGATTTGGCTTGTGGGTCGAGAAGTATATGTTGGAACACGAGATCCAAATGGATGGTCTTACGAGAACAGCTCTGATCGATCTTTACATGAAAGGTGGGAACTTTGCCAAGGCATTCGATCTGTTCAACGGTTTGAACAGAAAGGATACGGTTTCTTACTCAACAATGATCATGGGCTGCGGAATCAACGGCAAAACGAAAGAAGCAATCGGCTTTTTTCAAGAAATGATCGAAAAGAAGATCCGGCCGAATTCTGTAACGTTCACTGGACTTCTGTCAGCTTATAGCCACAGTGGCCTGGTTGAAGATGGCCACAAATGCTTCATCTCCATGAAAGACTACGATCTCGAACCTTCCGTCGATCATTACGGGATAATGGTCGATACGTTGGGACGATCCGGGAAACTAGAGGAAGCATATGAGCTGATCACGAGTATGCCGATGCAGCCAAACGCTGGAGTATGGGGAGCTTTGCTCTTAGCCAGTGCCTTACACAACAGCGTCGAGTTCGGGGAAATCGCGTGTGGGCGCTGCCTCAAACTCGAGAACGATCCATCCGGTTATCTTTCGCTCCTTGCAAACATCTATACATCGGTCGGAAGATGGGACGATGCCCAGAAACTGAGAAAGGCCATGGAAGAGAAGAAATTGTGCAAGACGCTTGCTTGTAGCTGGGTCGAATCCGTGTAATTTCAATGTCGAATCTGTACCCGGTCCCTGTGGAAATTCCCGGTTTAGGTTTGAAACCTGAAATTTTGTAGTTCAAAAAGTTTTGGTTTAGGATCATCAGTGTCGGTTATCCGGTATAAGTAGTCTTATTTTTGGTATCCGAGAACTGATTTGATGAGAACCGGTTAAACCATCGGAAAGAACGAATTCAGGGAACACAGATGATTCATTTCACACTCGAGTGAAAAAATCCGACTAACATAGAAAACCGAAACCGAAACAAAAACCCTAAAACCTAAAAGATCAGCTGGCGAAGAACCCTAATCTGGAAAGAAGAACACAGGAGATCTACAGAGAGATTCGTAGAGGAAGAAGAACAACAGAAGAGGGTAGGTAGCAAAATGGGCATTGTCAAAACGTTCAAGTTAAGGAGACGTTAATGTCAGAGGGTTTGTTTCTTGGATCAGAAGGTATCGGCGGCCACGTATCTGTCTGAATAGTTGAGACGGGGACAGGAACGGTCACCCGAGGGTCGGATGCGCTGGAAATCGGGATAGCTGCAGTCGGAGCCGATACGAAATCGAGCTTCTGCTTCTTCGGTTTCTGATCTTGTTGGTTCGTCCCGGCGGGTAGGAAACTCCCTACTACGACCTGGAAACGATACAAATGGATCAGGACCGAAGCTTAACGTAAATCTCGATGTTAAAGAGAAAACTACGGGACAGCAGATTCGATACTGACGTTCTTATAAGCAAAAGCGCCAAGGGAATACCGAGGCAGATGTATCGAGCGATAAGGCTCGGGATTCGCCTCTTGTTATCCGAAAACCCGAAAAGGAAATAAAGGAAAGCAGGTAAAATGCGGGGGAGAGGGATCGGGGGAAAACCTGAACAGGGCTAGCAGCAACCAATAGACCAGCGACTCCGCCACCTATGACACGACCGTCGGGGCTTACCAACGAGACACTCATTCCTCCGGTTCTGCTTCGAGTCCCGCCGATATTGTTAGGCATGAACGATCCTGACAATGATAGTATCTCGAACCGACCCTTTAAACATCAACATTCCATCAGATATTGATAGACGTAATCGAATGGTCGAAACTAGAAAACGGCAAGAGAATTTACAGAGATTGAATCACCTCGTACGTCAATGTACCGCCCGAGGAATCGGGCTGGCGAAGCGTGACGCTCGAGATAACGCCGTTTGCAGATAGAACGCAAATGGCACGAGGCCCTTGTTGCGAAAACGAGATTATCTTCATCGTTACATCCTAAACCAATTTACCAAACTATGACATCATTCTAAGTTCTAACACAAAAAAAAAAAACAGGATTAGGGTTAGAATCAGATCGATTCAGCTTACCTCGCCGGCGTTCACTGTAATGACATGAGGCGTGAAATTGGCCCCGACAGAGCAAGCGGCCCATTCACCTTCAAAAAACGGTGCAACTTATTATAAAACCTATGGTAAGGGTCGGTTCACAAATTCACATTACTTTTTACGCGTTTTGCTTTGAATTTTTAGAATATACATACACTTATTGATCTTTCGGAAATTAACTTAACTCTCTCCTCTCGAGTTCAAATACGGTATTAAAGGATATAGCGATACATACTGTTCGTACGCTTATGTACAAAATTGTATACGTATCAAAAAGAGAGAGACATAAGAACGAGACCCCACATCTACAAGACTACAAGCATGCATGTAACATTAACTCCCAGGAAAAAAAAAAGATTCCGAAGAATTCAGACAAGATCTGTCCTTTTTTTTTTTTTGTAAATCAAAGGAAAAATTTTAAAAAAATTGCAGAGATTTACCTAAATTCTCGAACTGGTACTTTGACCTGCTGAAGGAGCCGGCGGGTTTCACTTTGCCGCGTTTCTCCGACGCCGAGAAATCGATCACGTGAGACGCCGGCGGAGGCGCCGACGATATCGGCTTAGGAGACAGAGCCACCACCTTCCCGTCGGGTCCGTACTTCCTGGGCCGTCCACGCTTCTTCCTCATCGGTCCGCCGGAGAGACCCTCCGTCGCCGCCGTGGGATTCTGAGGTGGAGCTGCTCCGGTGGTCGGCGGCGCCAAAGGAGCGGCGGAGATGGGAGGTGGGTTCGAGCCCTCCGTCCTCGGAGCTATGTGGAAGTCTGACGGCGCGTCGGATCCCACCACCGTGACTCCGCCTCCACCTCCGGCGGTTGTTCTGACTACTCCGGTAGACTCCATATCTAAAACCATTAAATCTTTTCTCTTTTTTTTCAAAAACCCATGTAGATTTGTTTGAGACGAACTACGACCGAATTCTTTCTACAAGCAAAGCTAAAATCATTCAACACAGAACAGAAAACTTAAGGAAAACAGCTAGACCAGAACTAGAACAAGACGGAAGAAAAAGAAAAAGAAATATATCTAAAAAAAATTAAAATTAAAGTATATAACAAGGCTTGATGGAAAATTATATGTCTGGAAATTATGAAAAAAAAAAAGATTTTGGGAAGAAAAATATTTCTCAGAACAGAACCTGGAAATTATGAGGAAAATGGGAAAATTTTGGTGAAGAAACTGAGGGAAATTAGATTTATTTATGCTGTGTGATTTAGAAAGAAAAAAAATAGAAACAGGATTTTTAAATTTGGAAATGGTGACATTAAAAAGGTTTTTTTTTTTATATATTTGTTTCATCCAATTTCCTTCCTACTTCTTCCCAAGTCTGCATTGTTATTTTAATAATGAAGAAATAAAGCAATATAAAAAGGAAATGTATTTAATAGGAGGTTATAATATCTCTCACCATAAATCTCCATTTTAAAATTTCGGAATATATAGAAATTCGTGTTTTTAGCTGGAATCCGATGGGGGGGGGGGGAAATTAATAAATAAATGACAATAAATAGTAAAATAATATCGTAGAAATAACCGAAAGTGGGTATACTAATTTCTTTTCTGCTCTTTAGTTTTGAATTTTTTTTAAAAGACAATAAAATGTTGTCTGCAATCTGCAGATAATATTATTGGTTTTTTTTTTGCTGCGTTATTATTATTATTACTAAACTCTTTTTTAGTTAAATGTGTGGAGTAAAGGGCAAGTAAAATTAGGGTCCTAAATTTGTTAATAAGTTATATTAAATACAACTTAATTTTGGTAAAGAAATTCCGGGGGGAAAAAGAGAGAAGGGGCCAAAGGCGAGCATGACAATAACATGGGGCCATCCAAGCGTATAAAGATCATAAATGCAATTTCAATATAATTGTAAAAAATAATAAACATTAGTAATAAATATGCCAAAAATGTCTAGACTCCATATGTTTTACAAAAAAAAAAGGCTTCGTATGGACATTATTTCCACTTTGTAATTCTTTATGAAAACTATATTGAACCTAATATTTCCAATGAATAATCATTGTGGTAAATCAATTTACTTTAATATTTCTTTTAGCAAATTTTGTGTATTAACTAAGCATGCATTCGTATAAGGTATAACTATAAACATCAAAATTTTCGTAGACAGAGTATAGACTGTTAATAAAATATAAAATAAATTTGTTTAATGCCCAATATAAAAAATAATACAGAAGAAATTTAATGCGGAGGGGCTAAAAAATGCCTTTTAAAATTACTCAGATGATTCATAAAATTTTGAAAATTTATATTTTAAGTGTCCGATTAAACATTGTGTCCCTGTTTCAGTAGTTAATTTCCATTAAACACTGAAAATAACGTTTTCTATAGTTAAAAAACATTTACCACGGACAAAAAAAAAACGAGATTCATTCAATCCCCCGCCCCCCAATTATTTGATGTTAGAACAATATTTACTTGGTGACTTTAGAGTGAAAATTGTATATTTTGAAGTTAATTAATATGGTATTTGATATCATTTATATTCTCTTGACTATTTTAACTTAAATATATAAAAATACATTATCGAATGCATACTAAAAATAAAATAAAAATATATAAAACCAAATTAAATAGAATATCTAATAAATAATTATATTAACTTTAACCTAAATATGAAAATAATAATAATAATACAAATTTAAATTGCATTTAATTATTTATATATATATATATATATCAATTTTATACATAAATTTTAATTCGAAAAATACTAGAATATGATGGATTAAAAAAATAATTTATTATAATAACCACACCATTTTTGGAAATATGTTTTTTTTTTCCAAAAACATTGAATTGGTCACGGTATTCAAATTAAATACAGCACAAACAAATCAACAAAATACCAAAAAACATTTGAAATAGATTCTTCAAATATATTAAGAATATGAGGTATTTTCTTAGTAATTCATTCCACATTCTGACATGTAATTATTTTTTAAGAAATAATTGGAATGAATAATTCCCAATTCATGTCAATGGCTAATATACTAATATCAAATCTTACAAATTCATGCGACCACTATTTTCATCATCAAATTATTTTAACAATGTAAAAAGGTAATTTTTATAAAAGAAAATGTGCATATTACTAATTGTTTGTATTATCATTCTGAATTAATATCAAATTTTTTTCAGGTTTACTTTCTTTCTATATTTATTATATGCTAAAGGATAGTTAATTCCCAAAATCGATTAATGTATGAAAAAATTAATAAATATCAGAATTTTAAATATTACACGGATTATCAATTTAAATGCGCGAGGCATTATTTTACTTTACTCAATCATGTATCAGCTAAACTCATATTAGTAGTTATTTATACATGTATAAATTTGTACGTTTTTATATTTATGACGAGAATAAATAAATTTCTTCACCAAAGGTTTGAATTACTTTTTAAAGAATTAATAAAATTATTTCAGTTGCAGAAAATGGAAGTAATCATTATCATAAATTATTAAAATATAATTTATTTCGGGACCACAAAGCATTGACCCAGAAATGAAAAATTCTAATTTGCAAAAAAAATTATAAAATAAATCAAATAAATCGTTGTTTAGATAAGAACGAACCATTTGTTAATTGTCTAATTTAATTTTGGGCCGTTAGAATAATTTATAAGTTAAATAAATAAATAAATATTAGTGATGTGCATTTCCTCCACAACTTTATTTTATTGCTATTATTTAAAAAAATAACTGTTTGAGTACTTATTTATAACTAGATTTCACATGACTTTTATATTATTTTAATTTCTCATTTATAATTGTGGTCGGTATTCTGACCTAACTTTTTTTCTTTATACAGCTCATAGAAAAAGATAAATTGGTACTGAAAATGTTATTTTAATAATAATGGACAAACCGTATATTTCATGTAGATATTTATTTGCTATTTACTTCCATTTATTAATACCACTTGATTAAAAATTTTAAAGATACTAGGGGGCCTTGAAGGAAAAAAAAAAGTTACCCTCTTTATATAAATATATTATTTTTCGATAGAAATATCATTTATTTGTTATTAAATAATGGTTACTAAATCATATTTATTTTTATTCATCAAACTAGATGTGATTCATCGGTTAACTTAATTGAAATTGCATATGCGTTTATGTTCAACTTTCATTGGTTATTTTAATTTGGAATACTTATTTATTTATTTATTAAACAAGATTATCATCACAATTTGACAATATTTGTAATACCCATCATGTTAGCCTTTATACGATTATAATATTCTCCGCGTGCCTTCGAAGTAATTGATAAAATTTGTTGTGGCTCCCAATTACAAAAATGATTTTCCCCTGAATTTATTATATATGATATTAATTAAGTTATTATGTTTTTCTATAAAAAATATAAAGTTCTCGTAAAAATTAGCCATCAATCCGTTCAAATTAGGTTATATAATATTTACGTCAACATTTGATCACGAGTATATGTATGTGTACGTATTATGTATATAATTTGATCCGAAAAGAATATGTGCACATAAATTTTAAAATAAATAATTGAAACACTCTACCACTAATGGCTAAGGCCTAACGTGTTACATTATGGGCCTAAGAAAGCCCATAAAAATATGCGTGAACTTTATACTGATTTTTTTTTTAAAGAATTGCCCAGACAAAACGGTATGATGAATAACACTAAATATATATTTAAAAAAAATATATCCAAAAAAAACCCCTTAATTTTAAAAACATCAATTATTCAGAAACATCTTAAAACGAACACAAAATGACCTTTTCACCGCTGTAAAAAAATATAGAAAATTTGACCATCAAGGAACGTATAATCTTTGTACTAAACGTGTTTCTTTTATGATATATTACGGTTTCGAAATAAACTGACCAAGATTATGCAGCTGTGCACCAACTTTATAATATTATATAACGTGTTATGCTAAATTAGGTTATTACTAAAATATATATTAAAAAAAAAGACGTCATCATATCAATGTCATCAAACACAGTAACACACATTGCTATTACACTAAAAGGCTGATTTATTTAATTATTTTTGTAAGAAATACCACATAGAATAACCTATAACAAATCAAACAATAACTTCGTTGCAAGATTCATACTTATTCAACTTAAATGGACCCCACATGTTCTTCGTACACAAAAGTCCAAAGCTATTGAATTCTTCACTGACCAAATTTTTTTATAACGAACATAGGTTACATATGTACACTACAATTTAAAATATAATTAAAAACATATGTACACCAAAGATCTAACCTAACAATAACACCGATCACTAAATATATTTTCTAACACATCACTTCTTTTTTGCTTCTATGTACAATAATAACCTCCAAACAAACAGAAAATACCAATATTGCCACCTAACCTAACCTGATTCGACCGCATCGATATACCAAACACATGATTGAATTGGTCTGACGACATTGACCGGTTATAATTCCTCGTAAACCCTAATCTTAATCTTCACTAGAAATATGATTTGATCAAACCCAAATGGTAGAGATTTCTTAGAACCAAGCTCCCAAGTGACACCAACACTGTCCCTCCGCCGCCCCCGTACCGCTGCGTTTCCGACAGTTCTTCCTCCGACGTCCGCCGGGAAATCTCCGGCCACGGTTCTCTCACGTTCAAGTGGTTAAATCCGATCTTTTCTCTAACCGTTTCGATTATTTTCGGGTCAGCTCGGTTCCCATTCGCGTCGGTGACGTAGAAAACGTTTGTGGCCACACTGTCTTTGGTCGATATCTCGGCTCTCGCAACGTTCAATCCGTTTTCTCTGAAGATCCGAGTTACCTCCGCTAACAACGCTGGTCTATCCGATGTGCATAGTTCCAACCTCACACCCTGCGAAAAGAAACCACAAAACCGGAAAGAAATTAGACTATACCGAAAAGTTTTTAAACTGGTCGGTTTAGTTCTTAACCTGGTTAACATAATATATATCACCTTGGACGTCCTTCTTTCTACTGCAGCTTGTAAGCATTGTATCAAACGTTGCCTCTCCGGTTCTGAATTAACCGGAGCACCATCGGTATGCCTGATGTAGAATTCCTGAAAACCGAAAATCGAACCGACCCAAATCAAACCAAAAAAGAAAACAAAACAGAATGACATCGAATCACTTTGAGTAGAAAAGAACGTACGAAGAAAGCGTCGTCACCAACTGTTCGGACAGAAGCATGGAACACGACGTAGGCCATATCGGTTAACGTGGAAACGACGTCGAAAAGGAGTTTCATCCGATCTTTGCATTGCAATGTCACGACAGAATACCCTCGTCTCAGAAGGTTCTGTACCGACACGACCGGAGATTTCTTGGGATTCGATTTCTTCTCGTAGTCCCGGTCCATGAACATCATCTGGTGCAGCCTTCTCTCCACATGAGTACGTCCGTCCAGCAATACACACGTTCTCGTGGCGCTGCGGTAACCGTCGTCTCCTTTAAGCAAGTTACGCAACTGCCATTCTATCCGTTGGACCCTGTCGGAATCACCTTCGATCGGTGTCCCTGAATTACCTATTATATATATATATATATAAACAAATATGTAAGTATTCAAACTACGATTTCAATGGAAAATTCAAGTGAGATATTTCCCAAATTATTGTCTTTACCGTCTTTCATGTAGATCAATGAGGCGATTCGGCCATTGTGTGTCCAGGCCTTGGCCTCGACAACATCGCAATGCAGGTCGGCCAGGACAGCGAAAACCTCCGAGAGTAAACCGATACGGTCTGTTCCGGTTAACTCCAGGGTGGTTAAACCGGTGTACCCTTCGGTTCTAGCGTAATGAGATGACTCGATCGACTATGACCAAAAAAAAAAAGCGTCGGTTTATTCGTGTTCCAATAACAATATTGTCCGCATAATTAACGTATTGTTTAATACCATTAAGGATGTAATTAAAGTACCTTTTCTATATAACTGATGAGGTTTTCGTCAGTTAATTTGTTCCCCTTCGAATCCGTCACATGAAAAACTGCACATTATTCGATCCCAAGACAAAGAACGAGAGTGATCTTGCAATTTGAATTCGAGTGGTGATAGAATTACTTAACTCTAATCAGTGGTTATGGATGTTAATTACAGGTAATTACCGTCCATGATCCATTTCCCGTCGGCGGAAATGTAAGCTTTTCGGATCCAAAGATTCATATCGGTGAGAAGCTGTACGGACTCTAGCAGTATGCCCTGACTTCTCGCGCTATCGATCTGATATAATCAGCAGAAGAAAAAAATATATAAGTAAATCAACGAGAAACATCGATATTGAAATTTCGATTTAAAAAAAAATGGGAAAAAGGGAGACGAAACATAATAAGGTTGCGTAAAAGCAAGAAACCTTAACGACGGTCGAATTAGGGCAAACTCCATTGTCGATCAAGACCCTGTGGATGACAAAAAAGACATTGACCATTAAATCTGAGTGTCTTGCGACAGCCAAAAAAAATTATACAAGTAATTGAAATTGCCAATTAATTTAGAGGAAAAAAAAAGACTGTTGATTTGAATATTATAGAGATTTAATTCGGCGTACTCAGCCTTTTTCTGATCAATAACAGAGGCTTAGAGCCATGTAAGATGACATGCATATTCACCAAAGAAAAAAAAATTGTAAAATTATTAGATATTAATGAAGAAAGAAATCAAGAATCCGCATGATTTGGATGCCAACAGAGAAAAAGGAAATCGGGAATATCGATTAGAAATCCTTATGAGCATCTGCCAAGATCGAGGAGAAACCCAGAATTTCGCCAATAGAATCACATGAAAAAATAAAGATTGAATCAGAAACATTGTGCATAGAAAAAAAGATTACTGTTATTTTAGAGAGAGAGAGAGAGAGAGTATTACCTGGGCATGTTCATCCTTACAACGAGCTTCTCATATTCATCAGAGCAATCTGGCAATCCCATCTTCGTCTTCTTCTTTCAGATACCTAAGAACCCTAAAACAGAACCTCTCGTCTCTTCCTGTCCGAAACTCACGGACCCTTTCTATTCCTCTTCTTCTTCTTCCTCTTCTCTGTCCTCAGGCCTTCGAGAAACATGAAAAGACGAGCAAACAACTCATCCTCCGATTTCTCTCTCTAAAAACCGGACTTTTCTTGGTCTCTATTTCTATATCTTATCTCTGTCTCCCGACCGGAAATAAAGCTTACCATGTTCTTGACTTCAAAGTCTGCCTTAAATTATAAAATATATAGACTTGCATCGATAGAATTTATTTCGGATAAATATTTGTAATTAACTTTTTATACATTTCTACTTTTTCCATTATTTCGGTAACGTCTTGGGCCCATCTCTTGAAATTAACAGCAGCTAGCTGACCTGTCCGTGCCACTACTCGATCGAGGAAGAGAAAAAAAAATCCAAGGGAAACCGATGCAAATTTATTCCTCTAAATTGTAAGCAGACGTTGATTTTCCTCGCAATTTTTAAATGAAAATCAATGTTTGAATTTTATGGTACTTTTCTAACAAATTTTTTTCTGCTGTACATATTTCTAAAAAAGAGGAATTAACTACCACCTTGAAGAAGAATCTAACTGTCCGTACACCAGAGCAAAAGTCGGTCAGAGATCCTACGTGGCACCAGAACTGGTTGCCACGAGTGTTAATGCTGCTGTAGTTGCTGTGCTGTTGCAAAACAAGGAAAATTAACGCCGTTAGCAGCTTAGTAACGGCCGTTGACGACTCCGTTGGCACGGGAAGTCGGTCCCAACCCAAGTAGATATTTTTGGCATCGATTCTAGATAATAGATATTTCTTCTCTCTGTGTTTTTAGCAACATGACTGTAATGGTTGTCACGTAGAACAAAATGGACAGTGGCGAAAGCACAAGCACAAATGTCATGTCCCCACAATCCATCGTTCAGGAAACCATCGATGAGGATAGGGTTCCAAATAAAGGGAAAAAAAACCAAATTCACATATTGAAAAACTCGATATTAATGTTTATCATTGACAACCATAGTTTTTTCTTTTATATTTTGAATCTAAATCTAGATAAATTCTAATCTCTCAGGATAAAATTAAGATATACACGGATATATTACTACTAGATAATCACGACTTTATTAGATTATCGTAAAATAATATTTTCTTTTTCTTTTTTTAGCATTTGGAATCTGAATCTCATCGTGAATTAATTCCTTCTTTATCTTAGATGATCTTATACTCAACCAACCGTTAGTCTTTTACGTGATACATAGGGGGAAAAACTAGTATGCCAATAATCGGTATGATTTTATACATTTTTTAATTCCGATTTTGCCCGTTTTATTGTGCTATTGTAACACTTTTATTTTTTTGCAATAGATGATGTAGGATACGTTATCAGACAAGATTTAATTAAGTTTAATCGTTATATTTTTTATAATCTGATATATTGTAACATTTTTATTATCGTTAACAATATATAAGTGATTTTCTTAATACTCCTCACGTCGTCGCCGCATATTTGCTCGTGAAAATCTGCAGTCATGAAACGGGAGCCATGTTTGCTGTCGCCTGTCGGCGTGATTATTCGTATTTTCGTTTAGAAAAATTATAGTTTAGACTATAAAATGTTGAATTTAAATTTAAATTTTTTTAGTCAGTGGTGTGAATAATAAATTGATAGCTCCGCGGTCGTCGGATGTAATTGGTCAAGAATGGGACCCACAGGGAAGATCCAGACCGTCGATCACGGTGCTTAGGTTTTGTTTGACTAGTCCAACACAATCAGATACGATTCAATCAAAGACTGAACATGTCATCGACAGTCCGTACAGTATCCATCCCAGAATTAATTCGGTTTGTTAATTTAGAACGCAGCATATGAAAGAACGTCCAATATGCATCTGTTACCGTCATCATGGGCTTCGTGAGGGTTTGAGTTTATTGGGCCCATTTATATGGCCAGGCCCATAGGATATGTCAACCCAACATATGCAATGAATGATCGTTATCTAAATTTAATCCAAACCCAACGTTGGTCCGTCTTTGCAAAAATAATATAGGACGCCCCTTAATATAAATAATATGCAAACGTTTTTTTCAAAAGAAAAATAATAATAATAATATGATTTGCCAAGTTTAGTTTGCATCATCGGGGACCATTGAAAAGTACTTACAAATGTAAAATAAAAAGAGAAGTTATAATTCGATGGAATATTTTTGTATTCACTTTGTTATAAAATATTTTATCACACGAAAAATACAGTGGAGGGTAAGAGATTTCATAACCCTAAAAAGATACTGGAAAAAAAAAGTATTTTCTCTTAAATAACAGATTCAAGTGAAGAATGAAGATGACTCCATATTCATTTCAGGAAATCTATCAGATTTCTACGTTTTCGTTGGTCGTTGGTTCCATTTTTTTTAACTAAATAAAATGTGTGTAAATAGTCACTTTCTGAAATTAATTAATCACTCCTACATCAACTCTGTGTGTGTATATAACGAAATGGAAGTATAAATAATCACTTTATAACAAAAACATACCTCGCGTTATAAAGTCTGCGAGTTTAAAAAAAAAAACTTCAGAGAAGTTTGCAATCTTATCACTCAATCTCAATCTTTGAACATAATCCAATCTATCAAGAGATTTGAAGAATATTTTTGAATATTATCGTAATATTTAGATTTGATATTCTTTTTATATTTTAGATATTTATATTGATAATATAATTTTATTTTTTTACCTATAAATATTATAATGTTTATGTTGTTGAATAATGAGAAATCTAATAATTCTATGCCCTTTTCTCCGTTAATATATATATATATATATATATATATATATGTATATGACTACAAAATTTCAATTTGACCCTCAAAGTGACATGTTGGAAAATTTCTTCTAATTATTTGTAAATACAAAAGGGATTTCGTATCATTTTTTCCCAACCTTAGGTTTACTCGGATAAACTGTAAATTATTTATATCTTTCGTAAATGGGGCTCCAACAGTTTGGATAAGAAGAATCTTATACCGAGGCTAATTAAATTTATAAAAATAAAATCAAGAAACTTTATGGAATTAATTTAAAGTATAATACTATTCAATATAGTCATACGACAAAAATATTAAGGGTAAAGCTGCTTTTATGAAATGGGTCAGTGACTATTTTTTATGTATGTGGGTGATTAACCTGAGATTAACAAGATAATCACAAGAGTACTCAGGGATTAAGCCGTTAATCATGTGAGGTTTGAGTCTTAATTTGTCATTAGCTTAATTTGTCGTCTACCGATTGCTGTCTTAACATGTCTCGAGTTCTTAATTTCTCCTGCGTTTTAGACAATGAGAAATATATTCGGAATCTTATATTATTTTAAAATTTGATTAAACATCTAAAACAATATATATATATATATATATATATATATATATTTAAGTGAATACATTACGTTTATTAAATTTAGAAGGGGGAGGGGACCATATATGTACTGGCTTCGTGAGAAAGCATAACCCACGACAAGATTCGAGGCAATTAGGTGCCTTCCACATGGGACTCAAAACTAAATTAATTAGTTTAATCTACCAACTTAATTATTCTCTGTTTCTTATTTTTCTAAATTAATTATTAATATTATTTTATCCAAGTTGTGCTTATGCATATACCGACATAGGTGATGTAGATATCAATTTCGTCTGAGGGATACTTTTCCTCCAACTTTTTAATATGGACGGATGACGTTGGTCCATTTATTTATTTATTTATTTATTTTGATCTAATTATTAAATTTAATTCACATCAATCTGAAAATCAAATTTTATAGTATTTCAATATCATCATTAAAATAATTGATTTACATATTTCATATCTAATATGTTGCGTAAGATTTCTAATTTTTTTACTCTTTTAATTAACCAAAAACTTTATGATGCTTTCCAAGCTTGCATCCCGTTGTATGTTATCTATAGCCCGTCTTCTCGTTTTTTTCCCTTTTTATTCTAAACAATACTTTTTCAATATTAATTATCTAAATAAATTAAGATTTCTTAAAATTGCGTAACTTATGCGATTAATTATATAATTGCATACAACTATTATAACAACGAATACGTCTCCAAAACGAACTATTCGACAATGATAGTATGGATAAATATAATAATATATACAAATAACATCCGAACATTTATCAAAACAAGCATCACGCCAAATTGTTTCAGCCGTATTCATGTCTCGATCGGTTCGATTAAATTAGCCAATAAATTAATGGATTAATTAATCATGTAAACAATTAATTATCCGTGATTCGGGATTGAAAGCAAGCTGTCCTTCCCCCCCCCCCCCCCTTAACTCAAACGTTGGGTTGAGAGAGTTCATGCCTTGGAATGCCTGAAATCAAGTGATCTCATTTTCCAATATTAACTTCATTGATATTATTTATTTTTTGGGAATATTCATATATATATATATGTGCATATGTTAAGTACCTACAAAAAACGTCACAATTCTGCAAACAAAAGACTGAGAATTAATTTCTATGTAAGATTATATGCAGTACGAAAAGGAGCATATCAAAACGTGTATGTATGTGTGTGTATATATACATATACATACATGATACACCATTTGAAAGGATTAATTATATGTGATATTTTACAAAGGATCTTGTGTCTTGTTTTACGTATCTATGGATTATAGTTATTTTAATTTAACACGCAAACCTATTTGTCTTATCACATGCTCGTAATTAATTACGATTTTAGATCTAAATAGAACATAAGGTTGTTATGTTTGACCTTTGGTATTATCCAGTTAAAAGTCAACATCAACGTAACCTCCTTGGTTGGTGGAACAGGTGTTCTTTAAATTGCCCATAAATATATATATTACTAAAAAATAACCCAGAAAAAAAAAATAAAGGGAAAAGATAATAAGGGGAAGAAGAATTCGAAGGAAGCACAATCATCATCGACGCCCTTTGCTTTTGCTCTAAATACTTTTATTGATGCACTCAATCATTGTAAGTTCGACCCATAATAATTAAATAAATGTCCAATTAGTATTGAATTATGATGTGTTTTTAGATATATTAGTTCTATTTTTTTCTCTCTGATATCTAGTATTGAACATCATTTTAGATATTTGGTTTTTCTGATAATTTTTTCTATATTCATTTTTACGTTGTGTTTTATATCCTATATTAATTTTTTTATTGAACATTTTCTTGTTTATATGATCATGTTTCTATTTTCTAAAAATTTTATGTAAATTAAGTGTCTGGTTTTATTTGTTTTATTGTCAGATCGGTATCATTCAATTTCCACTGTGAATGGCTGACATATAAAAAATAAAATACAAGCATACGTTCATTTAGTTCCAAAGAAGTGTACATGTGCATACATATGCACCCATAAACATGGCACATCTATATGTATACAAGTATATGTATATATGTGAGGATGATAGAATCAACGAGTCAAGGAGAAGGGCACGTGGAGAGGGAAGAGC